TTAACTTACGTTAACTTAACGTTACGTTAACTTAACGTTAACGTTAACGTTAACGTTAACTTAACGTTACTTATACTTACTTACTTACTACTACTACTACTACTCTCTCTCTCTCTCTCTCTCTCTCTCTCTCTCTCTCTCTCTCTCTCTCTCTCTCTCTCTCTCTCTCTCTCTCTCTCTCCTTCTTCTTCTTCTTCTCATAACTGTACCACTCTAGGCAGGCCGGCCCCCAACTGTCTAGGTGGGCACCTACACTTTTTTGAACCTTGCCATCGACAATTTAATGTATGCCAATCATCTTTTTTTCACCTTTCACCCAACCCCTTGTACCCCTCTCCCTTAGTTCTCTCCCCTATCTCTCTCTCATCATGGACATCAGAGAGAGAGAGAGAGAGAGGAGAGCCAGCATATCCACGATGAAAGAGAGACAGAGAGGGGGGGGGATAACCACAAGAGGGGTGAAAAAGGGTTGGGCAAGAGGTAAAGGAAAGATTATTTCCTTATTCGGCGTACATTAAATTCTTACTAGTAATCTATTTTAAAAGTGAGAAAAGAGGGGAGAGAGGGGATGAGGGTGTAAGATCAGATGTTTAGGGAAAACTTCAATACTACCTAAAAGAAAATAATGGGGATGGGCTATCTATCGCCAAATTGGTACAGAAATTGGGGTTCTGTATGAAAGTTTGCCCAAAAAAAAAGGAAAGAAAAAAAGTAGTTCTCCAAAGGATAGCTTCTCCTGACTTGGCCAAAGAAAGAAGTCTCCCATGGAAATGGAAGGTACAGAAATAGAGTACTGCATAGAAATCACAGATGCAAAGCACCCATCTTTTACAGAATTACAGTATCTAATGATCCCTACAGGTCTCTTAGGGACAAATTAATGACTCCAACATTCTAATCAAAACAAAGAGAAAGAGGTTAACAAGTAGTCAATCCTACTAAAGTTGCATTAGAACACAATTAAAAAAATTAGATAAAAATATACAATTAATTCATGTCTCCATGCAGTAATTGTGCCTATATAAAGATAAATAGGTGCATGTATATGTTGATCTTGCAATTGGGTTGTTGCGATTACAGGTTGGAGTTAAACAAATGATATTTACCAAGTTCATAGAAAAAGAAATTGTAAATATATTTTGTCCTCAATGTTCTAAATAAAAGATAAGGTTTGTTTGTGCAATCCAAACCATTCACAAAGAGAACGGCAGTGGACATGGGTGTGAAGGTACTGAAGTAAATGTGAATAAAAAGAAACAATTGTATTTTCAAGTGGCCCGGAATTGACTGAAAAGAAACCGGCTCTGACATGCGTAGATGCCTTAGTGATCAACTTCAGTGGAACCTCAAAGGAAGTGAGGAACCAGCTCAATTTTGAGAGGTTGTCTGTGGGAAGTCTGAGTAGATGAGATGGGGGCTGGCTTGCCTCCACTAAGAAATGGTTGGAAGCCCAAGCTTTTATTATTAGGATGCAAATCTGTGCATACAGACATTATACAGAATTATTCTTTTATTATGGTTGTAAGAAGGGGAAATGCCACCCATTTAAAGATGCTGAATATTTGTGGAGAACTAGAAATAACCACCTATAGAGATGGGACTGCAGTTTTTTGTCCAAAACATATAGCAAGGGAGGTAAATGCAGAGATAGACATCTCAGCAAATCTATGGTTTAACATAGGGTTGTAGACCTTCTTGCAATTGTAAAGCCCTGATTTGCTGCCGTTATAAACATCAAACAATTCTAGAGAACTGAAACTCCCTATGTTTCTTGTCACTATAATGCCTTGACTTGCTTAGTATTATTACTGTTTTCACTATTTTTTTAAGACAAATACTAATAAATTTCCAATTGATCAACTATGTTAGATACAGATGTAAGATACATGAGGATAAATGTATGGTCCAGAATGGACAATGGAAGAATTTCTGCTATGATCTTCATATTCAAATACAAAAGAAATTTGAGTTATCTATAAACAAACAAGCATTTATAGTTGAAGACATCAATACATCAAATATACAAGTTAATACTCTTTCCCCTGACAATATTTCTTTTCACATGAAAATGGAGGTGTTGTAACAAAGAGTGTAAAGCAAATCGTTAAGCATCAATCGAAACTTCAAAAGCAACATAAAGGAGGTAAATTGGACAATACCATTTGCAGTTTGTTTCCTCAATAATGTCAGCAAGAGTAGCAGGTATGCATCGCCACTTTTGGCAATCATCACACAGCACCCATGCCACACGAGGTGGAAGACTCTGGACCTCAGCATCCAACGCAGACTTGTTTACCGCATTGGCACCACTTTCTCCAAGAATAACAGAACCTGCCCCATCTTGAACAGCAGCTCCTTTACCACCATCCTTCCTCCATTGATCTTGAAGTGTTTCTTGTTCTTTGTCGCTGCTGCCTGCATATTTTAGCAACATTAGTTTCAGTCCTTTTTCTCACAAAACAAGGAAAAGGTAGGCATTTACCAGGCAAAGTGACACTCATGTAATGTCCAAGCAGTGAAGCAAGCAGAAAGGAAAGAACAAACCACCATGAAAAAATACGCCAGAATCGAGCTCACCAGTTAATGTAGCATGCTGGCCAGGTACGACCTTCTTTTTCTGCGAACCATTACCTCTTCCTTTTTTACAGCCCCCTGAAGTGGGAGTGTATGATCCACATTTATTCACTTCATTTGATTTTTTAGGATGCCTCTGAGCCTTCTTGTTGGCATTGAGCTGCAACATTTCACCACCCGCTTCCTCAGATGGAGCTGCACCAATACCCATTGGCCCAGATAATGTGATTCGTTCACAGCTACTTGCCAATTCCATAGCTCCTTGGTCCATTTTGAATTCCCTTATCCTCAATGGCGCTTGTTCCACATAAAGTTCCCCATCCCTACAATTTTCACCGAAGGGATTTCCCATGCTTTTCAGGTCTGAGTTTTTTCTGGGTTTCGATGACCTTTTGGAAGTCTGCTCAGATCTACTTTTGGTTGACCTTCTGGCCGTACTCTGATTAACTGAAACAAGCAAATCTCCCTGCAGGGTTTCTTGTTTAGGAAGGTCTGCAAATAATAAACTTTGGTTTCTGCTGCCTTCTTCTTTTCTCCTTCCTTTCTTTCTGCCATATTGTTTCAAATCCAATGGTGGAGTAATTATAGGATCAATCCCAGCCTGTGAACATGTAGGAGCCTCATCTTGTAAGTCTTCAAGATATGTGGTTTCTGTAGTAGAGTCCATTCCATGTGATGGAATTTTACAGCAAAAACGTTTCTCGGAAAGTTCCTGACTACTTAGAGATGTGTCTGCCGTAACAGGAAAACTTCTTCCACACTGTAAAGTTTCATGTAAACAGAGGTCATCCTTCCTGTCAGTCACAGTGGCATTCCTTTCAGTTTCATCAGAATCCATTAAATGAGGTGATGCCCCAAAGTCAAGATGCATGCTACTGAATCCTTCTCCCAATGCGTCAACGCCATATTCAAATGAGGAGAGCATAAAAGATGAACTGCCAATGAGGTTTTCAGCAGTCGTATCTTGTGTCAATGTGCTTTCTGAATCCTTATCCCCATGCTTCAAATCACCAATCGGAACATCTACATCCACAGATAAGACTGATTTTTTGAACCCATCAACAGAAGCGTCTTGAACAGCTACTTCATGGACCTGCTTGGTGTCACAGCCATCCAGTCCAAATTTGACATCAAAATTTTCCATTGCTGCTTTGGAATTTTCATTACTGATTTCATGAGATGCTTTAAACATCCCACTATTATTGTCCATGGCCTCACTTTTCAGACACCCAACACTTAAATTGACATTACCACCATCATGATGATACAATGAAAGAGGACTCTCCTTTGCAATCAGCTGATCCTTTCTTTGAGCCTTAGCACGCCTAGACTTGACTTGGGCAGGATTCTTCGGCTTTTGTGATTTGGTACTAACCTTAGCCTTTGCACGATACCTTCCCCGACTTCTTCCACGCTCCACTTTCTTACCTCCTATGCTTTTGACTAGCTCCAGAGGAAACCCACTGGCAGCATTGTCACTCTGTTGAACTTGAAACACCTGAATCAAACTCCCTAACCCTCCCCAAACTGAGGACCTTGCTGCCTTTGAGATTACACTCCTTTTGCCCTTGGTTTTATTAAAGAACCAACTAGCATCCTTCAACAATAAAGCAGCAGCCATATTTTTGTCTCTTGCAGCTTTTCTGGCTCTCGTTAACCGCCCAAATACTCTAATTGGTGTACTAAATTTCTTCGAAGAAGACGAAGAATGTGCACATTCAGTAACAGTGACGCCGGGTTTCACAATAGTGTTACCAATATTAAAATATTCCCTTTCACCGTGTCCAGAAGAAGAAGCCAATGCACCACTAAGACAGCTTCGAGCATTCACATCAGCTGATACAGGCTGAGAACTAGAGGAAGCACTCACTTTCTTACCTTCTAGGAACTGAGAAACCAGAGAAGCAAAACCATCACCTGAGTTACAAGAACCCATTTCAGGTGATCCCTCAGTCAATGCAACAGGCTTGCTTTCTTCAAGCAACCAACTGGAGATAGGCTTATTGGATTCGTTCTCCTTTAAATTAACATAAACACCATCTGCCTGCTTCTTCTCCTCTTGGAAGGCCAGTGCACTGGCATCAGATGATAAATAATAAATGCTGGAAGAAGAACTAGCATTTGTAACTTCGATGAACTTAGAAACCAAAGAAGCAAAGCTATTGCCTGATATGTAAGAACCCATTCTAGATGAACGCTCATTCGACACACCAGGCATGTTTTCTTCAGGCAACATAATGGGCATTTGCAGATTGGCTTCACTCTCCTTTGAATTGACCGTAACACCATCTGTTTGCTTCTTTTTCTCTTGGAGTGCTAATGCACTGGAATTAGTTGATGCAAACTGTAAATCAGAAGAAGCAGTTGCTTTTGTAACTTCTAAGAACTTAGACACAAGAGAAGCATATCCAGCACTAGAGTTGGAGGAATCAATTTCAGGTGACCCCTCGGTCAATATACCAGCCTTCCCCCCTTTGAGAAACATATGAGACATTGGATCATCGGTTTCAGTCTCCTTTGATTTCACAAAAACACCAACTTCCTGCTTCTTTATCTCTCGTGAGGCCAATTGACTGGCATTGGCTGATACAAACTGTCCATTAGAAGAAGCACTCGCTTTCGTACCTTCTAAGAACTGAGACACCAAGGAAGCAAACCTTTCACTGGAGTTGCACGAACCCATTTCAGGTGACCCCTTGATCAATGCACCGGGCTTGCTCTCTTCGAGCTCCATATTGAGGATTGGCCTATTGGGCTCAGCCTCCTTGGAATTAATGCAGACGCTATCTTCTTGCTTCTTCTCCTCTTGCAAGGCCATTGCACTTCCCATGCTCGTAGACACTGTCAATAACGGCATTGGCATTTCCTCGTTGAGCAAAACATGTGAATCACATACTGGGTATTCCTTGTCGATCATATGCTCGAATTCCGGGAATAATCTCTCACCGAAATCATCACCTTTGGGAAGAACCTCTTCTATCTTTTCAACACCAGACCAGCGCTCGTCATTGCTGAATTCCACCATTTTCTTCGACCCATAATCATCTTCAATTGCAGGCCCGCAAGAAGTATTTATACACGCCCTAAAATCCTCTTTGTCATCACATGACAAACCAGAGGAACCTCCAATGTCCAGGCATTCAATGCATTCCATGTGCTTGATTATAACTATAATCCTTTATCCCTTGGCTTTGGTCATCATTCTTTAGTCCCATCAAAACCCATTGTAATGTTGACACCAGAACTGCCAAAAAAGAGAAAAAAACATTTATCAGGAACTCCAATGCTCGAACTCTTCTGAGAGATAATAAATGTAATGGGGCCCTAGTATCACACCTCAATCCCCTTCCTACTGTTTCGGGACATAGAAAACCCTAAAACTCATCTACAGAGAGAAGAAAACCAACATGGATTTACCTATAAAAAAGGAAAAAGGAAACAAGTACGCAGAGCACCCTTTCCAAAAAAAAAAACCCTAAAGGGCGCAACACCCCTGAAACATGGAACAAAAAGTCCCAAACCCTAATCCACCAGACAAACTCCATTTTCACATGAGCATCCAGAGAGAGAGGGAGGGGGAGGGGGAGGGGGAGGGGAGGAAGAGAGAGAGAGAAACTTACAAAGCCAGAGTTAAAGTGAGAGAGATCATGGTGGAAATACCTGGAGGAAGCAGTTCCGGAGCACCATTCGAGAGCGAAAACGAACATTGAGATTGTTAAAACGTATCTCTGTGCCGAAGGCCTCTCCTCTCTCTCTCTCTCTTCGCTGCCAGCTTTAGATATGAATGAAAATTGGGTAGATAGAATACTAGAAAACCCCTCTCCCCTCTCTCTCTCTTAATTTTATCCCTCCCCTCTCTCTCTCTTAATTTTCTCCCTCCACTCTCTCTCTAGTTTTAGTGTGGGAAACGAAAAGGGGTTTTGCTGCCGCGTGTGGTGATATGCCCCAAGGACGACTCTTTTTCATTTACATTGCCCGGGTGTGAACAAATGAAATATGTCAAAAGTCTTATAGAAAGAGCGCTTATAGTATGGTCCTCCCGCGGGAGCATAGTCTACTTATAATCTGTTGGGTAAATGACCTACTTGCGAATTGGGAACCACCTAACCATATTAGACGATTATTTTTAAAGCCAATTTAAGTGTTTCTACACTTAAATCTTATCTTTTAAAATTGGGCTCGTCTATGACGAGACCGGGATTATATATGATGGGATCATTTACATTTGATATTTGCTGGTCACAATTCCTTACAACTTGAAATTTTTTAGTGTGTCATAGAGGTCAAGAAAATTTTTTTTGAAGTTTTTGAGTTTGGCCACTGGAATAATTACAGCCACCAAATTTCACATCCAATTGTCAAAATTAATATGACTACTTTGCATCAAAAGTAAATGGTCACATTATGTACTTTTCCTTTAAAAATTAGATAGTTTCTATTTAATTATAAAATATTATTTTTTTAAGTGTTTAGAGAATACAATTTAAAAAAAAATTAAAGTTAATTTTGTGTTAAAAGATATTATATCTCTAAAATATTGAAGTTAATTTTGTGTTAAAAGATATCATATCTCTAAAATTAATTCTAAATAGATTTTGCCTGAGGGAGTAAATAGACACTATGCTCTCGAGGAAGTAGAATATAAATTTTTCCTTGCGGTTGAGAATAGCTGATAGTTGGTACTTTGAGGTTGGATATAATGTTGCCGTTTTTCACTTTTGCCCTTTTCCCTCAAAAGGGGGACCCATTCTTGGTCCCGCGTGGCCCCTGACCGTCTTCCAACCAGTTTGGACTTTGAATGTCGCATGTCCACGTCTATGGTTCTTCCCTTCCATTCAGTCTTCCTTTCATTTCGCTCTTATTTCAGTAATATGTATGGTCCTGAAGCCTATAAAATTTTATGGTCTCGATCATCATGACTATAGAATTATTTACAAGATTTACTTTCTCAAACAAAGATAAATGATCTCGTAATATACAACCATTTTTAGCATTCCAAAATTTAGGGACGAAACATTCTCAACCTAGTGACAGGAAACTCTATTACAATCCCGCATGCATTAGTAAAAATGATCTCGCATACATTATAGTAAACGATCTTGATCCAATATTGATCAACTTTTCAAGATGGAGCATTTTTAGGGCTTCAAGTTAAATTTGTTTTATAATAATTTTTGCCGGATTAAATGATGGATTTCTAAATTGATAGGTCCTCAATCATCTAAATCGTAGATAAATGAGTAACGACAATAAAAAAAAAAAGTATAGAATAAAACTATTTTACATTTGGTACAAGATGGTCATAATGAATCTTAACAATTAGATGTGAAATTAGGTGGCTGCATTTATTCCATTGACCAAGCTCAAACTTCAAAATATTTTTTTTTGAAGTTTGTGACACACATATGCTAATGAAATTTTGCATCAAATGGTTATAAGTACATGTGACTATCTTATATCAAAGGCAAATAGTCTCATTGTATACAATCTTGACAATAAAAGTGATCGCTTCACCAAACACTTTTCCGATACAACTGTGTAACATAAAGGAGTCATCAATCGATTTGGACACCGATGGAAATTACCATAGTTTGTGTAATGGAGTATTGGGTTTATGTGGCCTTATGAGTGCTTGTAAAATGAAATGATATAGTGGAACATGAACTCGTTGAGAATGTGGTTCCTCATAGACCATACCATACAAACAATATTTGCAGATACCAGACTGTGCTTGACGATCTATGACAGTCGGTTAGAAAAAACCCATGTTACTTTGACATGAAGAACAAACCGATGAGGGTTCATGGGTTAGCCCTTTATGATGTCAGAGAACGTGCCGGATGAATGAGCCAAGGGACTGTATGACCATTGTGTATGATGGTGGCCTATAAAGACGGGGACCAAAACATCATCCATATGCCATCACACGGCATGCATATCAATAGATCGTTCGAGAAAGCCAGAAATCCACCTTTTAGGGTGAAACATATGCATGTGCAAGAGATCCCCCTTTGTGACATAGAGTTGTGGTCGCATCAGGTCTTGGTGACTTGGACTCGTTTCTAGGAGAGGACCTGTAATCCACAGATTGGGATTGCGACCCCTTAGCTCATCGGCTAGATTTTGGTGACCCACTAATACATACTTATGGATTGAGTATGTATTGACCATATATTGACTTAATATGGAAGTAGATATTGACTTGAGATATCTTTGATAGATTTTATGAAAAATATGTGTAGAGATGTGCTATTTTATGGAATGCACAATATTTAATTAAAACTAATTTAACTTATTTTCTATTAATGGAAAAATGGTTTAGGAAAAGAGGATAAGGATTCATGCACCTTCCATAATGTTGATGGCCCATCTATGAAATGGATGGCTCAAAGCTCTCACCCCACAAGTCCCCCTCGATCGACGGTCCATATTCAATCTCAAAAGAAGAGGCAAGCCAAGAAAAACCCCAAAAAACCATAATCTTGTTCAAATCCTATAAAAATTAATTGTCTCTATCAAAAAATCTCTACACCTAATTTCTTGTACATAATTCTATATTTCTCTCTCATATCCCACTTAAAATTTATCTCTCTTTTAAGAAAAGTTTATTTCTCTCACATGTTGTGAAATAACCTAAGGGTCTCTCTTAAGAAAAGTTTATCTCTCTTCCACATTGTGAAAGAACTTAAAGGTTTAGGTTACAGAGTTATTCTCTCTCCTATCTCTTAACTATGGATTATAGCTAAGGGTTTTAAGGTTTAGCAAAACGATAATCAATTTCTCTCAATATAGGTTGCTAAGGGAATTCACTTAGGATTTGAGTTTATGATCAAAGGTTTCATGTTCCATTGATGCGACTTGGCATAAACTTGCTTTCCTGATTTGAGATTGAAGCAAGATCGTCGATCTTGTGCCATCGGATGGTGGTGACTCAGTGTGGGGAGTAATAAGCCCGATTGAGGTAATCTTCGGCACTCTTCTCTTTTATTTCTTGCAATCTTATGTTTTTATTCTCAAACATAGTGCTTACTTATTTCAATGGCATTAAGTTCTAAGATCTTGGTTTTATCACCATGTTGATTTTATTTTGAAGTATATATTGTTGTAATAAGACCACCTGTAAGTGATATTTTTCCAAAACAAAAGGGGTGATATATATATATAAAAAAACATACAAACAAAATATTATTCCCTGGTAAAAGATCACATAGGTCTTTTTTTCATTGGTATCAGAGCAATTAATATTTTATGTCATTAGTTGTCTTTTCTCTTTATTGAGTTTTGATCAAGCTTGAGAATGAGATATAAGAAAGCTAATGACCTTTATGGCAAAGAAATACACTCACGATTAAGAATTATTGAAATATTTCAACACCGAAAAGGAACTCTGCATAATGAATATTATGGGCTATTTTGGAGTAGTGATATGAAGAAGATAATAAGGTAATTTTTTATTCCATTCGTCAATGATATTTTGTGTTTTTAATAGTAGGATCTACCTGAAAAATTTCAGTGGGAGATCTTATGGGAATTGAGAGTTATGGACTCAACAATGAAAGATGTCAGTTCTGACCCTGCAAAATCCAAGAACTGTGTATTGAGTTTCGTGATTTTTCTCACCAACTATATGATTTTATTTATAGCTGAAATTTGACTAAGACTCATAAAATTGAGTCTACTTTTAAACAAAAAAAGTTTTATTAAGAAATTCCTTGTGGTTTGTAAGATATGAGCAATTTATTGAAGGGTATGCAAGTACTGTTTTCTGTAACAAAAACTATTTCCATGACTTGAAATGCATGATTTTATTTCTATACTTAACATAATGTTTTATGGTCCACACTAAATTTTTAAACTTCCATTTTGAGTCTATTTTCTAATGAAATTTATTTGAAAAAAATATATCTGTAAGAAGAGAGGAATACCAATTTTGGATTGAATAGATGTTATCCTGAATTTTCGGCAATTTGGTATGTTTTTCATTGAAACATGAATAACTATATTTATCAAGCCTACTTAGCAGAGTCATACAAGGCTTGCGAAAATATATATGTTATCTTTAAGTGTCTAATTTCAAACATAATTTATTTGAAATGGAGACTCCATGAAAGTAGAGAGAAAAAACAATTTTACTAGATAGTATTCATCTTGGAATTTTGCAGTATGATTTATTTTGTGACGTAAATGTCACATATTTATTTCTCTGGAGAAAAGTATTATTTGGGATTCAAACTATGATGTTGTGGTTTGATTTTGAGCCTAGTTTTCAACATTAAAATTTCAAAAATAAATTATTTGAGAATTGAGATAAACAATTTTTTTATTGAGAAGTACTCAACTTGATTTTCTACTGAGAAAATTGCATTGTGACATAAATGTCAGTAAAACGAATACTCATTAAATGGTATGATTTAGAGATGAAACTAGTCACTATTTTATATTTTTGAGTCTATTTCAATACTCAAAAGGATTCAGAGATAAACTTTTTATGAGTTGACAGATGTGGAAATAAACTTTCTATTATGCAGTAACTTGAAAGATGTGGAATGTTAAAGCACATCTTTAGATTTCTAATTATGGATACCTTTTTAGGGCTCATTCAAAAAGGTTTTTATAGTGTGTAATGAGTATGGTTTATTATAATAAAACTTCAGAGAGATGTAATATAGAGTTTGTGAGATATGACACTCTATATAAAGAATATTCGATTTGAGAATATAATAAAGAAGAAAAAAAAAAAAACGATACCTATAAAAGCATATTGATTTCTTCGAGATGAATAGATATATAGAGAGACTTGGTGGTAGCAAAGAGATGC